TATATATATATATATGTATATGTATATATATATATTAGTTTTTGTGTTTATGGCATGACAGAGTGTAGTATGGTTAATTACTTTGATCACATTATTGTATTTCAGACAGCAATACTGGTTGTGTTCCTCTTCACTGCTGGGTTGTACAAGTTACCTCTCCTCCAAACTCCTCAAATATTTGTGCTATACATATGCTTGTCTGGAGCTGTTGGAGTGTTGGTAACATCATTGATTATGGGTCACTGGTCACCTCTGTGGCTGTTTGAAGTCATATCTGCAAAACCTAGCAGACGGATTTTGATGGCTTGGTGGTCAGTTCTCAGTATTTTATCTGTGGTCATCACCATGATAGCTAAAAGGTTAGTATTGCATATTTTACTTTTCATATGTTCATCGCTTTCAGGCTCTGATAGCTGAAAGGATGAAGTTGTGACAAGCAAAATGTTCCTTGTACTTTAGCAAATAGAAAAATAGAAAATCTCATGAAAAACAAATAAAAGCTCTTTATGTATGTGTTTATAATATGAATATATATATATTTACTGTATATGTATATATTTATGTATGCATGTATGTATATATGATTATTTATTCTCTGACTGCAGTGAGTTTACAAGATTATTTTATATGGTCACAACTTGGAAAGGCAAGGCTGCTAGCACACATTTTTCTTCTTCTTTCTTTCTTTCTTTATTCATGTTTGAACATTATAGATAGCATATCCCAGGTTTGTTGAATTGTAGAATGAACTGTATGGTCAAATTATCTGGATTTGATTTTGGTTACTTTGAGTAAAGGAGAAACTACAAAATGTTCACTTGTTCAAATTCCAGAGATCCATGCAGATAGCACAGAAACACAGAACGCCAAAGTGATGACCTAGGAGGGAATATTGGATATATTGTTATGTGTATAAGCCTTAGTTACTAAGTCTGTAGTTATCACAGGCATTAGGTTTCTACATGTCAAATCTGGGAAGATTCTCAACCAATAACTAAAAACAGAGATGGTGGATCCACTAAAGTTAACAACAGATAATAATGCCTTTACTGTCATTTACTGTCAAAGCACTGCAGTTAGATAAAATTTCAAGTGAGGGCTTTGGTGTCCTAAGAAGAAATTTTCTGCTTTTGTACTCTCAACTATTTAGACTTCTGCACAGTCATTAGGAATGAGATACTACTGTCCTTCCCTTAACTAACTACTCCAGAACTAACATGTTTAACTTGCAAACAAGAATTTGATTTTATCACCCATTGAAAGTTAAGTTCTGTCATAATTCCAATTTCTTCCTATTCATTGATGAACTTGATGCCTGTCTTCAGTCATTTTGGGATACAGGATATCTTACTTTCAGGGGAAGAAGACATATGTCATTTTAACTACACTCAACTATACAAAGACTCAAGAACATGATGTAAAAGTGTATCAATCCTCTCTGTAAGGAATTGAGACAGCTTAGTTTGCTTTTTCTTCCAAGGTAATGAAGATGAGCACATCTGTAACAAGATGTAGAAGCCTTATCCACCATCAAAGTAGTCAATGAAAAAAGCACTCCATGTTGGGTTTATACTTAAACCTAGAAATGAAGAAGGAGCAGACCAAGACCTAGAATTGGCAAGGAGGATTTGGAGAAGTCCAAGGTGGGCCGAATCTCATTATATAGCAAATGTGAGATATAATAATCTAATGAAGCCCAAGGGAGATTCTACCTAGACACAGATCAACTGGAATAGGACAATGTACTGATAAACTGCATAGGTAGTGCTCTCCAATGCACATATATTTCAGAAAAGCATTAGCATTAGCCCTATATCTTTGGGATTTGCTAGGCCTCTGTGACTGAGTGGGCTTGCATTTGGGGCTTATTTCAGACATGGCTTGTGTGTCACACTTGCTGTGCTCCACCAACAAAGTGATGTGATTTTTTCTTCTATTTTTTGTATTCAAAACATGCAGCTGAGATGCATGATATTTATTTTAGTTGCTCGATCAAACCTGTAGTGTTACACTCAATCTGCAAGATTGATTATAGTTTTATTAAGGAAAAAAATGTTCTTTTATATTTCCCTATCTTATTCTTATGAAATAACAGATTGTGTGGAGTTATAAACAAGGTTACTGGTTTTATGGCTTCAGCACTTCCCATTTTTATGTCATACTTCAAAACAGTCACACTGGCAGAGCTCCAAAAGACAATGGGGGTACTTGACACAAGGAGACTGGTCACATAAACTAGAATAGAGGTTACTTATAGGGTTACAGCAGCAGCAAGAGAATGTTTTGGTGCTAGACATCTACCAGCCATAACAAGTAAAAGATTTATGTTTCGAACATTGCCCTTTATGTAAAATAACAGGCAGTTGGAATAGTACATGTTTCATTCTTCCTCAGGCAATGCTCCAGGGCTTATGACATTTGGATATGAGGGTACCTCATAAAGGACAGCATAATATGTAATGCATGCATTATAGTAACATGGTCCATCACCTAGAGCGACTCCCAAGTCAGCCCTAACATGAATGATACATCACCAGGTGAAATGACCAAGCGAATGTGAACCCCATATTATAGAGAGGCTAATGGTTAACAGCACAAATATGGCCTTCTAAAAACTGTTAAGCCATGAAACTCAACCATTTGTAAGAAAGAAATTTTTATGCAAGTTCACTGTAAACTTTCTTGTTCAAGGACTGTTCCAAAATGCAGTAAACACTACTGCAAGTTTGTGAACTCTGGAATGATTGAGATGGGACAGAAAATACTAGTTTAAAAGTTCTGTCCTCTTTAGATATGTTGTACATTTGCATTTTGCAGTGTAAACTCATTGACCACATACCCCAAATGTTACCGTCCTTGTGTTTCCAGTACTCATTTTAGTTGAGGTTTGTTATCATGCTTCCTTGACATTGATACTGAATAAATAATACAAAGAAATAAAACAAACTTGGATTAAGCATTATGACTAGATTCCTTCCTCAACAGACATTTGGTACTTTTTTTTTTTACTACTACATAAAACTGATAGCTTGTAACACCTGTGATTTGCTGCTCAGCTTGGTCCTTTGGATCTTTACCTGAACTGTGGCTGTCCCCCAAGATTTCCATTAGACTGTGACCTAGGACAGAGAACTGCTTCCATGTTCTTACTATTCCTGCTTTAGTGCTTTGTCTAGATGAAGATCAGTACTAAGTGGTTATTCACAGGGAGACCTTGGACTCCAGAAAGCTCTGTTTGCAAGCACTAGGTACCTGCTATTAGTACCTGTGCCCCTTTGTTACCCCTTGGGCTCTGCTAAGGTCTTGTTAGCAACACGTTAGATCAGCACTAAATGATTCTTCACACACTTTGACCATGGATAAGGGATGACAGCGGAATGCCTTTGCCCCTTGCCTTAACCCTTGGCTCTGCCTATGCATCTGACATCTGATACGTGAGGAACTTCTCATATCTGACCCCATGTCTTCCTGCAAATGGCAATATCTTCCTACGTCTCCGTCTACAAGGCCTTTATTTCTTGCTCATGTGTCAGGACACATTTGGACCCTCTGTCTCATCAATGCTTAGAGACAAGAAGGGACAGGCCACTAGCCTGTTCCTGGCCCAGCTTCTAGAGTCCTCCCTCCCTCCAATCTTTCTTCATTGCTTTCCAGCAGCCACAAAAAGGTTCCATAGCATAAGAGGGCCCAGTTTTCCTCCTTCCCATTCCAGTAAATCTTGGACGCCAAAAAAATGACAGTATGGAGCCAGCAGTTTCTTAAATAGTCCCTGGACAAGGTGCAATCTGAACCTCCAGAAACAGCCTTTTTCATAAAATTGGGAACTGACACAAAGGGAAGGACTCCTCCACCCACTTGGCTCAATTCAGTTTGGTGCCACAGTTGGATGGAAATAGACATATCAAAGAACTGGTCATGGAGTAGTGATGTCAAGTCCCCAGTAGGTGTGAATGAGCAGGTAGGCTAGACCCCTGTACCAGATTTGTCTTGTCCCTACCACCACTAGTGGTGAATGGCATTATCAGTAGCCAAGGTGATTTCACAAAGCAAGAATATTAGTCAGTTTCGTCTAATTTCCACAGGCTCTTCTGGTCCACCAAAGTAACACCTGGTACAATCATGTTGTTTGCCTCATGGCTTTTTCACACTAGTCAGTCTCTGTAACATTCACAACTCACCTGACAATGATCATGAACTGTTGGAGTACCCTGAGAGTTCCTCTGAATCCCAGAGCTTAAGGGGTTCTCTTATCTTTGTACAGGCAGCTAGCTATCCAGTGAGAAGGTCCTTTCCTATACAATGTAGGGCATACCTTCATCTCATAGGTATGTGTAGTATCCATCCCTGAGTAAGACCTTCAGCCAAGCCCTATTTCTGGTTACCCTAAGCTCATTTTCTCTGCTAGCCACTCGAATGTGCCTGCCCTCCTTCTCATCATTTAAATCAACCAATCCCTCGGTCATTCTTGTTCTATATCAAAGGTTTTATGACCAAGAACCTATGGAGGGGGCCACACTATGGCCTTGTATTCCTCCCAGCATGCCTCATGAACAGCTAACCCAATAACCTTTGTCTGATGGCCACAGTTAGATCCTTAAAAAAAAAAAAAAAAAAAAAAAAAATGTCAGCTACTAGGAAACTTGCTTCACAAGCAGCTTAGGAGCTGTCTTCTAATGTTATGTAAAATCTGTCAATTGAAGTATGAAAATGCATTTTTATATTATTTGAATGGCACATTTGGTTCCTCTCTTTCAGTCTCAAACCATCCTTTGTTTCCAATTTTCAGTTCTCTCAAAGTGGGTGATGACAAGCAAGGGGGGAGGTATAGAAGGATGCATTTATCCTCATATTAGATTGTTAACGTCATGAAAGGTTTTACCATCAGTCACAGTTACTTTTTTCTTTTCTTTTTTATTCCAGATATATGAAGGACTTATTTATTTTTATATCAATTATAGCTCTTTCTTGAGGGTTGCCTCTTCCTCTATCAAAGTAAAAGCTCAAACAATCTGCACAATTCTGTTTGAACCATTCAGTGCTATTCCTTCTTTGTCTCTGCTGCATCATTACCTTTCTTCTTTTAAACAACTGCAGCAGAAATATTTAATTTTATATCTGTTTTGCTCAGCAGGGATTACTGCCTTTTCACCTTTCCCTATTCTTTGCTTTATTATTGTTTATTCAGTACAGTGCTTTAGTGCCAAAGTCGACATGGCAAGAGATATCTACTGGAATATCTCTGAAAGATTGGCTTATCTGTTTGTCTCAAATATTCCTAAATTTTTGTCATCCAGTTGTGTTACTTAAGGGGAAGAGTCGTCAGTACGGTTCACAAATTACGATTTTTTCAAACTTTGTGTGTGGATACATGACCATGTGATGCACCCAGGGTGCCGGTTGCCAGATGCGTAATGCGCTCCTTTCCGCGGTTTAAAGGTCTGGGGTATTTAAATGCCCTCATGCTGCCACACCCCTTTTTGCTTCATGCTTTGTTTTTCTTGTATTTTCAGCGTTTTTTGGCTGTTTTTGAGAATTTCTTCGGTATGATACTGGTGTACAGTAGTTTAGGCTGCGTTCAGCAGACAGGCAGCAGCAGCAAGGACGTAGAACAGTGCGATTGATAAAGTTTTTGGGAGTACACATGGTTTGTTTTCAACCTGTTGAAAACCTAACAATATGTCATTTATATATCAGAAATGCATAATATACGATTTATTATGTACTATGATATGTAAATGACAGAGGTACCAGGAGCCTTGACATCTGAAA